GTTAATGAAACTTTGGGTATGTTAGGAGAAATAAAGTTTCCAGGAATGGGTGGGCAGGTGATCATTCCACTGTCCTCTGTCCTTATACGTCCTTATCTGGAGTGTTGTGTTCAGTTCTGGGCACCAGGATCTGACAGAGCTGATAAGCTAATGGATGTGCAGAGGAGGACAGCCAAGATGGTGAAGAGCCTTGGGTCCATGTCAAATGAGGATCATTTAAAGGAACTAGGGAAACAACCTGGAGAAGAGAAGACAGTGGGGAGGGAAAGGGATGTAACAGTCATCAGGTATTTGAAGGAATTATCATGTGGAGCAGGGATAAAGTTTGTTCTGGTTGGCTCCAGAGAGTCAAGAGCAATTGGTGGAAATTACAAAGAGGCCAATTTAGGCTTGACATCAGAAAAATATCCCAACTAAGTCAGAGGTCCTGCCTTTAGAGCTGATAGGCTTCCCTCAGAGTTTAGATGACTACTTGTAAGGTGCGTTAAAGTAAGGGGAGGAAGAACCATCCTCTCATGACACCTAGTTTCTTCATGGGGATGAGAAGGAAACAGAGCTATGTCCACACTTCTTGCCTTTCTTACCATTGTAATCAATGGGTGTTCCTGTAGTATTTTGTCTGAAGAAGACTTCACCCCTCCCAATAGATTACATATGTATCTTCCCACTGAGTTGGCTAAGAAAGCTTCCCTTTGGTCCTTTCCTTTCCTTCCTGTTTTTTTCCCAACCTTTGGTTTGGGGACTAAGATTTTACTAAGGGATCCTCATTTGACTAGCCACATCTGCATACAATAATTGGCTCACATTAGCTTTAGAGGTTCTTAACTTGAGCGAAGGGAATTATGATTTTCGTATTAATCAATACGATATGTATAATGAACATACTACTAGTTAGATGTCTCAGGAGACTCTGGCTGTGGAGTCAGAGCTCCCAATGCAGCTTGAAATGATCAATCAGCCCTTGACAAGGCACTCTTCCTTGTGCCTGTGTACCTTAAGTGAAAGGAGTCAAAGACTGCCGAAACTGTTCCAGTCACAGAACACTGGTTCTGTGTCTTAGGGGAGGTCGTCATGACCCCCAAAGATTTGAATCCAGAATTGTTTTATGGTGCTCTACTCATGGGCTTCTTGTGGAAAATGGCTCAAGCCCTAGGAATGATTGTCTGTAATCCACTTGCCCCACTGCCTTCTCTACTTGTCATTTAAGTATATAACTTCTGCTTTTACTTCATCTTGTAGAGCATTCCTTATATTGAAACTTATTAATTAAACTGCTTTCTGGTTACTGGCACTCCCTTCTCTAGGCCCTGTGTGGCTCTGAGCATTCCCAGGTTAGAGAATGGCTCAGTAAAATCTTGTTAACATGAGACCTGTGAGCTTATCCTTTTAAAATATATTTTGGTAACTGTATTTCAATATAACTGTTTCTTTTTTAATCCTGTTAGTTTTTATTTTGTGTGCTCAAAAAAATGATTCTGAAAACAAAGCCATCTATAGTCATATGAAAAAAATGCTCTAAATCACTACTGATGAGAGAAGAGCAAATCAAAACAGCTCTGAGGTACCACATCACACCAACAGGTTGGCCAACGTGACAAAACAGGAAAATGATAAATGTCAGAGAAGACGTGGGAAAATTGGAACACTAATACATTGTTGGTGAAGTTGTGAAATGTTCCAACCATTTTGGAGAGCAATTTGGAACTATGCCCAAAGGGCTATAAAAATGTGCATACCCTTTGACCCAGCAATAGCACTTCTAGGGCTGTATCCCAATGAGATTATACAAATGGGAAAAGGACCAACATGTATAAAAATATACATAGCAGCTCTTCTTGTGGTGGCAAAGAATTGGAAATTGAGAGAATGCTCATCAATTGGGGAATGGCTGAACAAGTTGTGGTATATGAATGTAATGGAATACTATTGTGCTATAAGAAACGATGAACAGGCTGACTTCAGAAAAACCTGGAAAGACTTATATGGTCTGATGCCGAGTGAAGTGAGAAGAACCAGGAGAACATTGTACACAGTAACAGCCATGTTATGCAATGACTAATATTGATAAACTTAACCTTTCTCAGCAATACAAGAATCTCAGACATCTCCAAAGGCCTCATGATGGAAAATGCTGTCCACATCCAAAGAAAGAACTATGGAGTTGGAATGCAGATTGAAGCAGACTATTTGCTCTTTTTTTTCTTCTGTTTCGTTTTGTTTCCTCTTTCTGGTGGTTTCTCCTATTGGTTCTAATCCTTCCTTACAACACGACTAATGTGAAAATATGTTTAATACAAGTGTATGTATAGACTATATCAGATTGTGTGTCATCTTGGAGAGGGAGGTGGGGAGGGAAGGGGAGAAAAATTTAAAACTCAAAAGCTTATGGAAGTGATTGCTGATAATTCAAAATAAATTAATTAAAAATAGATGAGGACAAAAATTATGATTCTGAGAAAGATTTCATAGGCTTCAGCAGATGTCTAAAGAAATCCTTAATACAAAAGGGTTAAAACCACCTGGCCTAGAAGCAAACTGGCCCTCAGTCCACATGGCTTCTCTGCTCTGATCTTTTCAGAATCTTATTACCAGAGCAGATAATAAAATGTCATCGTGGCACCTTTGAGTTGCCAAGCCAAGATGAAGATCCTAGTTTTCTGGATAGAGGTGTGGCTACCTGCACTTCTAATTATACTTTTTTGTATAAACAGTAGTCACTACTGCCTCCTCATTTACTGTCTCTGCTTGTACGTAAAGACTTACGCTCAGTAGCAATTAAGATCAGTCTTATGCTTATCTAGAGAAAGCTGGCTTTAAATTGATACTGAAAACAGCAAACGAACAGCTTAAAATAAAATTAAGATTTAAACATCAGTTATTTCAGGCAAACAGAGAGAGTGGAGGGGGGATTATCTCAGCTGTCTCTTCATGTTCAGGAAAAGATAACCAGCAATCAATGATCTTACATTCTGGTCACTGTTGTCCTGTTGCATCTCACTGGTGGATAAAATCATTAGGAACCCAGGTGGGCCATGGACGCTCAACCCCATTCTCCTTTCCTTTGTCTCCTGATCATTTCTGCATCTGTCATTACTTCACATTTTCTGAACTGGTTGCTTCATGTGACCTCATCAGCTTGCTTTTGTTGGAGTTATTAGATTTGAGAACATCATCTATTATGTTTGGTTGGTTTTTTTGGTTGTTTTAGGCAATGGGGTTAAGTGACTTGCCCAGGGTCACACAGCTAGTAAGTGTTATGTGTCTGAGGCCGGATTTGAACTCAGGTGGTCCTGAATCCAGGGCCAGTGCTCTATACACTGCGCCACCTAGCTGCCCCGAATATCATCTATTATGTAGAGGAACCTCTTGGAGTAATCCACCTCTACTGAGTTGGAAGCCACAACATGTCTTATCTTTTTATTTAAACGCTTTTGGCAACCTGGAGAAAGGAGGACAGTGTATGTATGGTTTAGCTACCTCAGCAGAGAATCAAAGGATCATTGATTTAAAACTGGAATAGACTTTAGAGGCCATTAAGTGAGCCCTATCATTTTACACAAGGAGAAACTGAGCCAGAGAGGCTGAGTGAGTCACTTAGAATCACCCATCCAGTAAGTGTCTGAGGCAGGATTCGAACTCAAGTCTTCCTTACTCCAAGTCTATCTACTATACCAGAGAGCTCCCTCAATAGCTCAGAGATTTCAGGCTGAAAGAGATTTCAAAGTCTCTAGTTTTGCAAATAAGGAAAGTGAGGACGAGAGATGTTAAATGACTCAGCCAGTGTCTGAGGCAGGGTTTGAGCCTAGGTCTTCCTGACTTCACACCCAATACTCTATTGACTAGATGGTACTGCCTCTTTACTGAAAGAATGCAGTGAGTGAAAAAAAAATTGGATTCCATGTCAAAGGATATTGACTCTCTGCCTTTCCTTCTCTGGGCCTCAGTTTCCTCATATATAAAATTAGAGTAAAAGAAGGGAACAAATATTTATTAAGCACTTACTATATGCCTGGGACTGTGCTAATCATTTTGTTGATTTTTGTTATTTAATTATGGATTTGGACTAAATGGTGTCTAACATCTCTTCCATTGAATGGTTTAATAATCTGGGGCATCATTACCTATTTTCCTGTCCAGAAAACTGTATTAGTCACCATTCCTGGTGGGCTTTTCCCATCTTTAACTGAGGAAAGGCACACAAGGGTCAAGGAACAAAATTGGTTTCAGAAATGTGTCTATTACCCACATCTGTATCTGCTGACCCAGTCTTTAGAACCTAGTTCAGGTGCAGGTAGTATTCAATGGTCCACATCCCTTTCTCTCAGTCAGAAACAAAGAAATCTCTCTTCAGCTTCCCATAGAACTTTGTACCTCTCCTAAGCAAGGGGAATAGTAGCATAATAGAATGCTTGGACTGGAAGGGATCTCCATGTCAATCCTTTCATTTTCCAGAAAAGAAAATGAATTATCCAAAAGTTGGACAGTGAAAAAAAATGGTGCTGAGATGAGAAACCATACATCCTTACACTGCATCTGGAGCTTTTCCTACCACCCAATGTCATTTACACACCAGGACCTTCTCTCAAGATGGAATTGCTGCATATGAAAGACTGATGGACTTGCAGTCAATAAGTCCAAGTTCAAATCTCAGCTATGTCTCTTATCAGTTGTGTGGCCTTGGCCAGGTCACTTTATCTCTTTGAGCCTCAGTTTTCCTATTTCAAAATAGTAATAATACTTTCACTCCCCATCATCCCTTATCATGCTCTCATTTATATAATAGACATTATGCATGTACCTCTTCTGTCATCTAAATTCCATGGTAAATTCCTTCAGAGCACACATCATACTATATTCACCTTGGCTGTGTGCAAAACCTAGCATAGTACCATATAAAGAGTAAGCATAATGGGGGGAATGAAACAGAATATGGAGCACTGGCCATGGACTTAGGAGGATTTTGCCTCAAATCATGCATCTGAAGCTTGTTAGTTGTAAAGTCCTGGACAAAGTCACTTGTTCTAAGCCTAAGCTTTCTCCTTCATAATCCTAGACGTGCACAGCTCACCGTGTTGTTGTAAGGCTCAAATGAAACCATTTTCCTTTCACCCTCAAACTCTTTCCTTGGATTGTGAGGCTTTGTCTCCAGTTGATTACGCTATCAGATCCTAGAATCTCTGGCAACTTTTGAAAGTCCTTGGAAAATATGTGGCAAGTGTCTGTGTAGTAATCCTTGTCATCCATCATTTCCTGCATGGGAGATCACAACTGGGGGAAGCAGAGAAAGAAAAAAGGATAAGGACCTACATGTTACAAAGGTATTTATAGAAGCCCCTTTATGTGGTGACAAAGAATTGGAAACAGATGACACTTCAATTGCAGAATGGCCAAACAAATCATGGTATATGATGGTGATGAAATACTGTTACACTCCAAGACACGATGAGCAGAAAGCTTTCAGAAAAAACTGCAAAGATTTGCACAAACTGATGCAAAGTGAAGTGAGCACAACCAGGAGAACATTGTATACTGAATCAGCAATATTGTGCAATGATCAATTTGCGAATGACAGCTATTCTCTTCAATACAATGATCCAAGACAATTCTAAAAGATCAATGATAAAAAATGCTATCCACCTCCAGAGACAGAATTAATAAAATCCGAAAGCAGATTGAAATATATTGTTATTTTATTTCCTTCATTTTTTTTGGTCTTTTTTTCACAACATACCTTAAATAGAGATATATTTTGCATGACTACGCATGTATAACCTTTATGAAATTGCTTGCTTCTCAGTGATGAGGGAGGGGAGGTAGGGTAGTTGAAAATTTGGAACTCAAAATTTTAAAATATGAAAGTCAAAAAATTATTTTCCTTGTAATTGGGAACAAATAAAACATTAATATTTTTTTAAAAGATTGGGGGAGAGGAAGGGTAGGTGGTATTAATATCATCATTTTACAGATAAAAAAACTGAGGCAGAGGTAATGTACCTAGGGGTACAAATCTAATACATGACTGTAGCTGGATTTGGACTCAAGTTTTTCTGACTGCATTTCTAGAATTCTTTCCATTGCACCACTCAGATGCCTCATCTAAAACCCTGGGATGCAAAACAGAGGGAAGGGTGGAAGAAGCTGTTTATTGCAAGACTTCTAAAAATCTCTGCTTTCTTCTGTGCTATTCATCTTTCCACACAAAATACTATCCACGCTGAATGGGCCAAAACTGAAAAAAAGTGAAGCTGCCACTGGCCAACACATAGCATGCAGTGCCTGGCATGTATTAAGGACATAATAAATGCTTGTTGACTGAAGAGTTTCTGGGAATGATCCTCTCTTCATCATTAGGTTATGCACAAGCGATTACTAGGCTTCCGTTAGAATCATTTCTATCTTGGAGGTACTTCTCGCTTCCTCTGTGTGCTGAATACCAGGTCACTAAATGTCTGCCTCTCCCCAGGATGCAGAGGAGACATAATGTCTTTGTCTCTGACTTTGAAGTGTGTCTTGGCATTCTCTGAATCCAATTTAGGTGAACTGGGGGCTATGTGCTTTTCTGGCTTTAAAATGAAGCTCTTGCTCTCTTATATTCCCATGGAAGGAGAGCAATGGGGAAGCCATATTATTGGGATGAGAGAGTTTTCACATCCACATTCAGCATTTCACAATCCAGAAAGTGTGGTAACTGGAGTCAGCATGCCAGCTTTACCAGTGACTAGTGGTTTGACTGTAGCCATGTGATTGACCTTTGGGGTCCCCTTTCTCCTTATCTCTAGAAGAAGAAAATTGGCCTAGGCATTGTTGAAGGTTCTTTCCAGCTCTCAACTTTATGTCCCCATGAATATAATTACGTGACATCTGTGAGGGGAAATTGTATTCCTATATATTGGACTTGGGGCATCCTAGCACAGCAGATAGATGGTAGGCATGGGAATCAAAAAGACCTGACTTTGAGAACTGATTCTGACATGTGTTAGCCATGTGATCCTGAGTGAATCAGAAACTCTGCTCCCCCCCCAAAAATTCACTAAGAGTATACATTACAGAGAAGTTGCTGACTGACATCAATGTGTGGAATTTTCTCATCGGAAGTTGCTTATAATAATGCAATCACAGATCTAGACTAATAATAATGATAATAAAAATAATAACCATGCTGTTATTTATAAGAAACATGTGATTATTGATACACACAGTATAATTATATTGTGTCATAAAGCAATAAAATATAATTTCTTGGATTATCCTTTCCCAATAACTCACAATAGAGGGTAATTTGAGTACCCTCATCCTAAAACTGTACAGATATGTTCTAATTAGTGCACTCTGAAGTGGTTACAGGTATTTGAATTGGTGATATTTGAAATAATATTATGTAAAATCTGGTGATTACTTCCAGCCAATGGAAATCTACAGGATGACTATGAATAATGAAACTATTTCAGGGAATTGATTGTTCACACTGATCAGGACATAGCTGTCACTTACAAATCCCCAACCCTTAACATTCACCCAGTTGCCACAATTAGCTTAAAAGTGGAATGTTTAATGAAACAGCATAGCATGAACGTGCTAATAAAATATCCTCCACATTAACTTTAGGCATATTCTCCCACAAATACAACCAATGTCAGTTGGAAGATAGGAAAAAAGAACTCAGTACAATTAGTTAACACACACACACACACACACACACACACACACGGGTATATGGAGAGAGAGAGAGACAGACAGAGAGACAGAGAGAGAGAGAGACAGAGAGAGAGAGAGAGAGAGAGAGAGAGAGAGAGAGAGAGAGAGAGAGAGAGAGAGAGAATATATTTTTTCTTCCCCTACTGGATTGCAGAACAGTCATTTTCTCACAAGGGTTGGGTTCTTTTTCCTTTCTCATCAACCACCAAGTATGTCTCCTCTCCTCACAGAGCTTTCCCTGCATTGACTGAATTCAGAGCTAGAAAACTGACTTCCTAAAAGCCTTGTTTGCCTTAATGTCTGTACTTTTGTCCTTATTGTGGAAAGAGTCTTGCCTTATTGCCTTAGTCTATACTGAATAAATTGGTCATGAATGAACTCCCACAGTGTGATGTAGGTGAGTTGCTAGGCATTAGTACTCAAGGGCTGCAAAACCTCAAAGGAGCTCCCTTATTCACAAGTGATGCCATCAATCAACTGATAAATATTTATTAAGCACCTACTATGACATACTGTGTGCCAGGCTCTGTGCTAAGCCATAATAATAAGTACCAATATTTAAGCATTCGACCAAGCAAAAGTTATACCAAAAAAGTTGGACTTATTTATAGAGTGAAAACTTCGCAAAACTGTCTGACCAATTAAAGACTGAAAGCAAAACAAAACTGTTAATTTTTATATGATTGGTTCCTGAGAATTCACAGGGTATTCTCTCTCTGTGTGTATACACACACACACACATACATACACACAAACATACAAATATATATACATATGTATGAACACAGACACATATTATCTCTATCTATCTATCTATCTATCTATCTATCTATCTATCTATCTATCTATCCATCCTCTCTCCTCAGAGGAAATCCCTTTTTTAGACTCTTTAATTTATTTATTTTTAGTTTTCAACATTCACTTCCACAGGATTTTGAGTTCTATCTTGCCCCTCCCCTCACTCTAAGACTACCCCTTCTCCTAATCTGCCCTCCCTTCTATGACCCCCCCCCCTTCTCTTATCCCTTTCCCCTTCTATTTCCCTGTAGGGCAGGATATATTTCTATACCTCACTGCCTGTATATCTTATTTCTCAGTTGAATGTGAAAACAAATTTTAACATTTGTTTTTAAAATGTTGAGTTCCAAATTTTCTCCCTTCCTCTCTCCCCACCCACTCTTATTGAGAAGGCAAGCAACTCGATAGAGGTTATACATATGTAGTCATGCAAAACACTTCCATAATAGTCATGTTGTGAAAAACTAACTATATTTCCTTTCATCCTATCACACACCCTATTTATTCTATTCTCTCTTTTAACCCTGTCCCTCCTCAAAAATATTTGCTTCAGATTGCCCCCTTCTCCAATCTGTCCTCATTTCTATCATCCCCTCACTCTCTTATCCCCTTCCACCCTATTTTCCTGTAGGGTAGTATAGATTTCCATACCCAATTAAGTGTGTATGTTATTCCTTCCTTAAGCCAAATCCAATGAGAATAAGATTCAACTCATTCTCTCTCACTTTCCCCCACTTCCCCTCTGCTGTAGAAGCTTTTTCTTGTCTATTTTATGTGAGATAGTTTACCCCCATTCTACCTCTCCTTTTCTCCTTCTCTCAATATATTCCTCTCTCAAGTCTTAATTTTATTTTTTAGATATCACCCCTTCATCTTCAAGTCACCCTGTGCCCATCTATCTATCTTTCTATTTATCTATCTATCTATCTATCTATCTATCTATCTATCTATCTATTTTCCCCCTCCAACTACCCTAATACTGACAAAGGTCTCGAGTTACAAATATCATCTTTCCCTGTAGGAAAGTAAACAGTTCAACTTTAATAAGTCCCTTATGATATCTCTTTCCTATTTGCCTTTTCATGCTTCTCTTGAGTCTTGTATTTGAAGGTCAAATTTTCTATTCAGCTCTGGTCTTTTCATCAAGAATACTTGAAAGTCATCTACTTCACTGAACGTCTATGTTTCCCCCGAATGATTATATTCAGTTTTGCTGGGTAGGTTATTCTCAGTTGTAATCCTATCTCCTTTGACCTCTGAAATATTATATTTTAACCCCTCCATCCCTTAATGTAGAAGCTGACAAATCTTGTGTAATCCTGATTGTGTTTCCACAAAACCTGAAATGCTTCTTTCTGGCTGCTTGCAATATTTCTCCTTGACCTGGGAACTCTGGAATTTGGCTATAATATTCCTAGGAATTTTCCTTTTGGGATCTCTTTCAGGAGGTGATTGATGGATTCTTTTCATTTCTATTTTACCCTCTGGTTCTAGAATATCTCCTCAT